TGCTCCCTTAAGCTGCCTCCGGGCTCACACACCAGGCAGGGATTCTACACTGAGCCACACTGGCAGCCCGCCCCGCTCCCATTTGCCCTTTTCCTTCTGCGTGCTGTGGCTGCTTTGCCCTGAGCACACGCTTTCACAGCAGAGGCTGTCGTCGGCAGCGGGGAGGACGCGGGCTGCAGGCCCTGGGCTCCTGAGGCCAACAGCCCGGGGCACTGGGTGTTGGGCACCGCGGGCAGAAGCTCCTCTCCTGCACCCAAGGGCAGGTCCAAAGGGGTCTAGAGATGAAGACGGGCTCAGAGGGATGCCTAGGAACTCGAGAATCTGGACAGTGAAGGTGGGATCTTCTTTAGGGTTTAAAATTATATTCAGAAAAAAAAATAATAAAACCACAATTACTTTTAGACATATCCAGGCGTTAGTACAGCATCACCAGTAAGTAATAAGAAAAGGTGAATACAGTGAGGGCATTGGACACTGAGGACTGTCTTCTCCCGCTGAGTCCTTTGGTATTTGGGCTTTCCCTTCTTAACACACAATGCGAAATTCGTGCTGTTTTCATGCTTATTAAGAAACAGTTCTGATCCAGTAGTATGCAGGACGGATCACCTATCTCAGTGTACGTAATCTGCACTACAGCCCTAAAAGGAGGGCACAACCATTCCCCTCTCAACTGAAGCTACTAAAGCTTCTGCCTCAGGTCACACAGCTGGTGAGTGACATCAGTCCTGAGCCTGTCCTGATTTGCACCTCCTGGGAACTGAGAGGAGGGAGGAGCACACCAACCACACCCACATTAGGGCAGCAGGTGCACCAATGAACACACCCCAACCGACTCCCCTTCCAAGCCCCTGAGATGTCATGGACACCTGTGGCTATGGTGTGGCCATGGGAACTGTGGCATTGGTGTGGCCACAGGAACTGTGGCTATGGTTTTTCCTTACAGAAGCCCACAGCCTATCTCCCAAATCTCACTGTGTCTCTTCAAGGTGACTTTTTTTTTTTTTTTTAATATTTATTTATTTTGTGTGTGTGTGGCCAGCTCAGCCCACCAGGGGGCAGGGCTGGCTGGCATGTGGTGCTGGGGGGATTGAACCGCGGTCCCTGTGCTTTGCTTAGCTTAGCTTGTTCTAAGTAGGTGCTTTAGACCACTGAGCCATCTCACCAGCCCCAAGGTGACTTCTGAGGAGAGAAAAAGAAGCCCTCTCCCATTCTGAGGCTCACACTTCAGATAGCACTTGGTGTTCCGCTCCCCTAAGCCAGGGGAATGAAGAGATAGTGCAGGACCGAGTGTCCCAAGGATCCCCTTGTCTCAAGTGCAGTGTCAGTATAGCTAGGAAAGGGCAGGGGTGGGAAAAGCTGCCTGGCAGAGGTCACTTGTGGGCGAGGGCCCACAGGTGGGCATGGGCAGCACAGGCAGAGGACCACAGAGCGGACCATGGGGCTGATCCCCAGGAAGCAGCAGGTTCCACAGCTACTGTCCAGCAGAGGGGCCAGAGCCAGGGGCAGAACACAGAGGAATGGAAGCTTAGAAAGGGACAAGTTTGGGCCCGTGAGAGTTCTGCACCAAGGGGGCAGAGAGGCAAGAAGCCCAGGAGCATGGACGAGAGGTCTCCAGGACTAGGGAAGGACGGGCCGCAAAGGAGCTGGCAACCAGAACACTGCCTGCTGCAGCGAAGGGCAGCCAGCAGGCCCAGCTCCAGGTTTCCCAGGGGGCTGAAGTCAGCGGACCCCGCAAGCACCCCCGAGCCATAGAGGCCCCCACGTGGCCTCCCCCTGGCCTGCTTACTCAGAGCGGAGGAGTCACTGGGATCTGCAGTGCCCAGCGTGAGCTCCAAGGCTGCGTCACCCCTTCAATGGTCTACCCCACCCAGATTTAGAGGACCCAGCCCTGGGACAGCGGCTTTCCTGCCTCTCCAAGAGGGACCAGGAAGGCAACCCTGCTGTGCGCAATGCCCAGAGCCCTCAAGTCCAGGGGCTTCCACTGCAGAAGCAGGAGGAAGTAGGCTCCAAGGTAGACTGGGCCTCAGTTTTCTCTGCTTTCAGTCTACGCAGGCTCAGTAGCCACTGCAAGACCCTGCTGGCCAAGGGTCTGACTAGTGACAGGTGACAGACACTCCTTGCACCCTCCTCCTTGGGAGCCTCCTAAGGATGCCTGCAGGGGCACCTTAAAGCCCCCATGAGGGAACTTTCCGTTCCCTGACATACACTTACCAGTATTTCACTGCACAAAATATCTGGTCTGGTACAGAAGACCTGAGACTCCAAGGCCGCACACGAACGCACATCTCACTGTGACCTCTTTCTAGCATGTAAGTTTGAGCAAATCATCTCACTGCTCTAACGTGCTGACTTCCAAAGGATAAAAGAGTAACGAAGTCCTAGAAGGACAAGGACTGCGAGAAGGGAGCAGCCTGCACAGCCTTGCTCCTCTTTACTGCTTTCATTAATGGTGGATCCAAATGAAGATTCCCCTTAAGTTCACAGCACTTCCATCTCATCTGGCGAAGCCCAGCCCTAAGGGAACATCAGAAAACCAGGGTGGGCCTCCTCCTGCTCCCCCTCCCCCCTCCCCCTTCTCCTCCCCCTCCCCCCTCCCCCCACCCTCACCTGGATGGCGCAGGGTCCCGCCCCTCCCAGACGCCTGTGTCTGGAGCACTGAGCTGGCAGAGATCGGAAGGAGGCCCTGAGACCTGACCCACTGAGGCCTGGCTGGGTGGGCAAGGTGGATGCCTGGTCCTCTCAGAAGGAGCACGGCCCTCCTTGCAGCAGGAGGAACTCCCCGAGGTGCACAGCAGATCTCCTTTCCCAAGCGTGCCTCATTTCTGTACCGAGAGCCCCAACACTTACGCAGGCTTTCCCAGTTTGGCCCCAGTCCTGCTCCACGCTACTGCTCAGGGACGCAGCTGGCTTCCACACGCTCTGCAGGCTGCCCGGCCCATCGGCCAGGTCTTGCACCGCCCTCTTTTCTGCTCTGCAAAGCCCAGCCCACCCAACCTCATGAAGACTGCCTTCTTCTCCCGGCTGCAGGCCTGCAGCTCTTCTTCCATCCCCTGCCTCAGCTTGTCCCTCGCGGGACGAGCGACCCCTTATCCTTCAGTCCGTGCTCTGCAGTTGCACCCTAAGCAGCCCACGCAGGCACCCAGAGGGTCCGGCTTCCCCACGGTAGGAAATGCTTTACATTTCCTTCTCCTTGAAGATGTTGTTTTCTCTGAGGACGCATCCTATGCCCTCCTCCACCTTCCCTCCTCCCCAAGCATCTGAGCGCTGGCTCTCGCAGTGTCTGACCCCGAAGTGCATTTACACAACAATAACAAAGGGGCCCCCTTCCAGGGACCAGCGTGGCAAGCCACTCTAGGAGGAGAGAGGGCTCTGCCAAGGCGCGCAGGGAAGGCCCAGCAGCCCCGCCCCCACTTGCCCTCAAGGAACACTGCGGTGCCCTCTTGCTCTGAGTTCAGTGAGCCTCAGCTGGTGGTCAGGAAGCCCCCACGAAGCCCCTCCTCTGCGGCGCCTTTCACCCCTAGCACGCTGGCTGGCTGGCTTGCTGGCCAAGCATCCGGCGCCTATAATAACTTCCTGGGGTCAATAGGTTCCCCAGTGCTGGGGAATTTCTTCCAGCACCTGGGGCCGAGTGCTCCCCAAGGCAAGGATTTAGACTCAGTAAAGGGGACAAATGAAAGTTAGGAGTGATGTGGCGGGAGCACCACACTTGTGAGCCAGGAAGGCCACAAGACAGTAACGCAGCAACTGGGCCTCCCTCAGCTGGCTGGACAGAAATTCCCCCCTCCGGCGCCCAGACTGCGCTTTCTCAGGGGTGACCCTTCACGAGGCCTGCGCGAGGCACTACATATCAAGAAACCCAGCCCAAGAGGGCAGGGAGGGCGAGTCAGAGGCCGGGAGGCAGGGTGTCCCTTCAGGCTGCGCAGTCTCCCTAATGGGGCTTCTTCACCGAGCACCAGCACCTCCAACTCCCTCTGTCAAAAGCTCCCGGGACTTCGGCTCGGCACTCTGCTACACCCACTCCCAGGGCCTGGCCTTAAAACATGGCCTCGCAGGAACGGCCCTCCTCTCTTCCGGCCCACAGAGGAGACGGTCAGTAGGGCAGGGACCGCTGGGTGCGGCCCTGTTTATCCAGCCATCTATACCAGGTGAGGCTGAAATTCAGAAAGCCCCCCACCTTTAGGAACGTGGGTCACCCTACCCCACCTTCTGCTCAGCAGATGTGACACTAGCGTCCTACCAGGCCACAGCTAGAGGCCCCACAGGAGCTCAAAGCTGCAGACACTGTCCCGCCGGTCCCCTCTCTCGCACTCGCCCCAACCCCCACAGCTTGTACTCTCAAATTCTTGGTGAAGGATCTGTCTGCCCCCACACTTCTCAGCGACACCTCGAAAAGGCAGCAGGAAGGGCAGAGCCCAGATCTGGGATTTGGCTTTCTACTGGTGGCTCGTGCATCTTCCACAGCTGTCCACTATGAAGGGACATCCAGTTGGCCAGCGCTGTCCACATAGCGGCACACGCCTAAACACAGGCGGGCACACACGTCGAGCACACGCACATCCTGCACACGCACGCAGCTCCAGTCCGCGGCAGCACACCGAGGGCAGAGCTGCGTTCCAGCCGTGCTCCGGCCGTGCAGATCTGCGTGCCACAAGCCCTCCTCAAAGGCAGAGTGTGGAGAGAAAATATAAGCACCTCGCGAGGCAGGAGGGGCAGTGACTCCTTCCCACGGACCCAGCCCCGGAACGAAGCGGAGCAGCCTCCCCGCCCAGGCAACCCGGGCGTCCGGGCTGGGGTCCGAGGCCGGCCCGGGCCTCGGGAGCCGCGCTCCTCCCCTCCCCCGCCACATCTGGTTCCACTCAGGTCCTCCCCGCCCCCGGCGCCGGCTCCCTCGCTCCGCGCTAGCTTGCAGGACGTTAAAGCCCGGGCGCGCGCGCCTCGGGGAGGGGCGCAGCCGGGACCCCTCCCCCGCGCCCCAAGTTGGCTGAGCGGCGGCACCTTACCCGAGAGCGCGGCGGCGGCCGCGAGGCCCGCGAGGAGCAGGGCGCCACGCAGCAGGTGACTAGGCCCGGGCGCGGGGGCCGGCCGGGGGCGTCCCATCCCGCGAGCGAGCGCACGGCGGCCGGCGCGTGGGGCTGGCGTCCTCCTCCGGGTCAGGACGAAGTGATGCCTCCCGGGGAGGAGGACGAGGCCGGCAGGGAGGGCGGAGGGAGGAGCGGAGCGGGCGGGGGAGGGAGGTTCGGAGGGAGGGACCCGGCCAGCCCCTCGGCCGCCCGCCGTCGCCGAGCCCCCTCCCAGCCGGCCCTCTCCCCGGTGTCCCGGCCTCGGTCCAGACTGCGTCACAGCACCCGCCTGCCGCTGGAGCGGGGGCGACTGCAAAACTTTGCGCGCACTTCAGGCGCGGTGGGCCGCGGGCCGTGAGGCCGGGCAGCCGGCCCAGGTGGGCAGAGCCCGCCGTCCGCCCCCGGCCCGCCCCCGCCGGTCCCGGCCGTGCATCCCGGGCCGCAGCGCCCTGGCTCCTCCACTAACCCCGGGGGAGGGGGCCGGTGGGGGCTACGGCCGGTTCTGGTGCTGCTTCTCTAGTTTGCGCTGTTATGCGACTTCTCTGTCAGTGTCGCACTTTTGCAGGCCGGGGCCCCATCCAGAAATCTGGGGAAAAATCTGTTCACTAGACGTCCCAGGAGACAGACATCACTCCCACCCCTGGCCTGCTGGCCGGTAGCAAGAGGACCAAATGGAAATTTCATCAAAGGAAAGAGAAGCCAGTTAATTCAGCGTTACGCAACAGGTCACCCCAGCGCAGGGCCCTGGGATGGACGTGAAGTCCAGCCCCACTTCTACCTCTGATTTTTGAGCAACCTTGGAAAAGCTGCCTGGGATGGCTGGGCTACAGCCCAGACTGAGGCAACCGGAGACCGTGGGTGCAAAGACGAAAGTCTTCCCAGTAATCATAGGAAAATATGAAACTAATACCCATTTTGTTTTCTGGGTTGTTCACCCTGGTACTTTCTTGAAAATAACAGATTCGGCTTTTCTGCCTGTTTATGATTCCTGCCTTTAGTAGTCTTTCCTCATCTCTGCATGAGCCATGGGCCGCAGAGGCCGGGTCAGCTCTTCTGGTCTCTGACCACTAGCCACATCCCGCCCCTGAAGCAAATCTCTGTTACTCCACAGCCCACTTGAGCAGGTCTGAGAGGGCCAGGTGCCGTTCTTTTCTCTATCTTGGCTTTTTAGGGATTTTTTGTGTGCGCAGGGTCACGCTACACAGCCCAGACTCGTAGTGATCCTCCTGATTTCTGCCTCCCTAGTGCTGGGATTACAGGCATGTGCCACCACACCTGGACTCCATGGCTGGCTCAGCGCGCCCGGTGGCAGGGCTGGCTCAGCATGCGGAGCCACGGACCAAACTCTGGCCCCTGTGCTTACGTAAGCAAGCACTTAGTCTGTTGAGCTGTACCACCGGCCCTTGTCTTGGCTTTTTGAGGCAGGGTCTTGCTATGCAGTTCAGGCTGGCCTTGAGCTCACTTTGTAGCTTTGGCTGGGCTGGAACTCTCAAGTGTGCATCGCCACATGTGGCCTGGGTCCCATCCTGTAAACTAGTGCTGCTTTGCTGCCCCTTGGGACACGGCATGGTGTGGCAGGCCCTGAGACCCAGGCCCCTGAATACCAATGACCCAGTGGCTTTTGGCTTCCCTGTCAGTCCTATCATCTGCAAGAGGTAGGAAGACCTGCCCGCTTTGGCTACGGTGCTCCGTCTGGACAGCCAAAACAGCCTTCTGGAATGGCTGGATCCCCACTTCCCCACCAGCAGGGCAGACGCTGGCACCTCCCTGCGGGCAGGGCAGGAGCGTGACATCACCAGAGTGTGGTGAGGCCTGAGCAAGCCCCCTTGACAGCTCAGGGCCTGCCAGGACACAGCAGTGCGGCTGGTTTTCTCCCTGCCTGCTCGCACGCGTCCACCGCGGCTCTGTGCCAGCGCCCCAGGAGACTTGGAGGAGCAGTCACAGGAGCTCCCTTTAGGGAGGAGAATGGACAGTTTCTGCATTCCCAGGCTAAGAGATTCTGCTGATAGGCTGAGGAGCACAAAAGCAAGCGCTCTGTCCTAGCAGGGATGCAGGGCTGTCCAAGCCGCTGAGGCCCTGTTCCAGTCCCAGCTGGGCGTCCATCTTCCTGTCTAGCACCTCAGGCTTCCTCAGCCTGTTTTTTTTTCCAATGTGTTTGGTTGTTACAGGGTCTCACTACACCACTTGGACTCGTAGTGATCCTCCTTTTTCAGCCTCCCCAGCGTGGGGATTATAGGCATGTGCCCCTATGCCCAGATTTTCTGTAGCCAGCTCAGCTGGCCCTGGGGGCGGGGACCAAGCCGTGGTCCCTGCTGCGCTGGCCTACGCAGGTGCTTCAGTGTGCTGAGCTGTCTCGCCAGCCCCCTCAGCCTACTCTGTAGATGTCCACAGCCACCACCCGTCTTCTGTAGAGCTTCAGCTCCGAGGACAGCAGAGCTGCAGTTCTCCTGAAAAATCCTCCATGCTGAAGATTGTCTGTGGGACAGGCTCACGGTTTGCAAGAGCACTGGGGTTGTGAGGCAGGGGCTTTTGAAGAATCTGGCACCGGGGCTGGCCAAATAGCTCATCGGATTAAGGCACCTGCATGGCCCAGGGAGACAAGCACTTGCAAGGCTTGCTGTCCTCGGAGCTCAAGCTCTACAGTAGACCGATGGCGGCTGTGGACATCTACAGAGTGAGTAGGCTGAGGGGGCTGGCGAGACAGCTCAGCACACTAAAGCACCTGCGTAGGCCAGCGCAGCAGGGACCAGGGCTTGGTCCCCGCGCCCAGGGGCAGCTGAGCTGGCTACAGAAAATCTGGGCATAGGGGCACATGCCTATAATCCCCACGCTGGGGAGGCTCAGCTTGGACAGTGCGGAGGCCCAGGCCTGGGCCCTGGAGGTGCAGAGGGCTCCAGCTCTGCGTTCATTGCCGCCTGATCTTGAGCCTCGCTGCCTGAAGTACTCACTGTGCTCACGGTCACTTTGCAGAGGTCGCCTCTTCCCTGGTTCTGGGGCTCAGCAGCTAGAGGGCGCCCAGGGGAGCAGGGCACCCTCAAGCAGCCAGGCCCTCGACATCAGCTGTAGGAAAGGAGACCATGAGACAGCCTAGCTGGGTGTAGTGGCGCATGTCTGTAATCCTAGCACTAGCGAGGTTCAGACGGGAGGATCATGGTGAGTTCAAGGCCAGCTTCAACTATGTAGAAAGACCTTGTCTCAAAAAAAACAAACAAGCAATCTGAAGAATTAGAGGCTGTGGAGAAAGGCTTGGCCAGCTGTTGCCTGGGACAGCTGGCACAGGGCATGACCCCAAAGGGCACAACCCTGTACAGAGTAGCCAAGCACAGACCTGCGCTGGTGGCATCTACCCTTTCTCCTCCAGCGGCTCAACCACAGAGCTCCACAGCAGTTCACCTCTTGCACAGCCCCCAAGATCCCAGAGGGGTGTGGGCTAAAAAGAGCATCAGGCATAGGATTCAGGCAACCCCACCTCAGATCTGGCTCCGCCTGCTCTGGACTGCAGCCTTGTGTCCTGTGACAGCTACCCCACTGGGAAGTCTTGTGGCTGGCGTGTCTTTTCTTGCCTGGACTACTCAACCATGGCCACAAGTAAGAAACTGCGGCTTTTCCTATGCCTTTCACTTCTCCCTTGGTGTGGAAAATACGTAGAAGGGCTCCCCCAGCCCAGGAAGGCCTGAGTCTAGGTCTGCTTACTCCTTTATAGCCACTCCCAATCCAGCCTTTTCCTCTCTGGGGAATAAGAAACAAACTCGCTCACAGCCCACTGGTGGCCAACCTACAGCAAGCACGCTGCAGCTGGCTGCTTGTTGTTACTCAGACCTCTAGAAGCTTTGCAGCCGGTCGCTGTTGTAGCCCCACCCAGGAAGCAGGAGGTGCACACTTCCTCCCTGAGTGCAGACAGGAGTGGCTCAGGCTCCCAAGAGTTTGGGACGCTAACTCCCACTTGATTGTGGTTAGCTGTCAGCACAGCCCTCAAGTAAGCTTAGGAGAAAACTCGGGTGAAAGTGTCGGGCTGCAGAAGCCAGTACCTTTGAAAGCTTGTCCCTGCTTGGGAACTTGACTAGGTCAGGGGCAAGCTGACAAGTGGCGTTCAGGGAGAGGTGGATCGGACTTGGGCAACAGCAGCCGGGAAAGGAGGGTCTGCACTGCGAAGCTGAAAAACCATCTGCGACTGACTGGAAGAGGTTGTCCGGAGCTGCTGCCGCCCTCCCCACCTGATGGAGCAGTCAGGGAGGGAGAACATGCTGTCTGCTCTACCAGGGCTCTCTGGCCTGCAGCTAGAGCGCAGCCAGGTGGAGCTAGGAGACCAGGCCCCCTCTGGCCACGCTCTGGCTTCCCTCTTCAAGATGTCCCGGGGATGGTCTTGCTCCCTGCTTCCACTTCCCTAACTGAGAGAGGATAGGAGGGAGGGGTTTGCTCTAGCCTCAGTTGCTTAAGCTCTGAAGAGCTGAGCCCAGACCCTCCCGTGGAACGAGAAGCACGGGATGGCCTGGCAGGGCCAGCACTTCCTCCTACAGCCCAGGCCTCCGTGAGCCTCAGCTGGCTTCCCATCTTCACCTCAGCCCCACCGAGCTGGGTGGATCCTGTGTGTGCGTGTGTACTGGGGACTGAGCCCAGGACCTTGCACTGAGTTACCTCCCTTTCTCCTTCCCCTTTGAATCAGTAAGTGAGCTAAATTACGAGTTACTCACCCTGGGCTTGAACCTATGATTTCCTGCCTCAGCTTCCTAAAGTGCTGCTACTGGTGTACACCACTACATACAGCTGTGCATTATAATATGAAATAAATGTCAAGAAACTACAAACGAGCAGAGCTTTACTTTATGGAGTAAGTACTGGCTCAAGATGTTATGTGTCTTGTTGTGGGCTGCCAGCCACTGAATCTCAGGAATACCGTTACTGGGGCCAGCGAGATAGCTCAGCAGTCTAAAGTGCCTGCCTAGGCAAGCGCAGGGACCTTGGTTCAATCCTGGCACCCCAGGCATACTAACTGTGCCCCCAGGGTGGGATGAGCTGGCCAGAGTCTAGGTATAGTGGCAAGCGCCTATAATCCTTGCACTAGGGAGGCTGAAAGCGGGACCACCACCAGGAGTCCAAGCTGTTCAGTGCGACCCTGCAACAACCAAATACATTTTTTTTAAAAAGTGTACTGCTTTTGATGGCTTGTGCAGCTGCTCTGGCCTCCCCAGTGGTCCTTAGGCTAGCGAAGCCCTGCGCCTGGCATGCCGTCTGAAGCTCGTCCGCGGTGCACCACCCTGGAGCCCTACTGTCCTGCATGCCCTCAGCAGCGCCCCCCCACCAGGCCCCAGCAGCGAGGGCCCAGAGGTGGCGGCCGGAGGCCCCCCGAGTGGAGTTTCCAGACGCTCAGGTGGTCAGC